ACTGCCACCGACGACTCCACCCCTGCCACCACTCCCACCACCACCCCCACCCCCTCCACCGCCTCCACCGCCACCTCCACCGCCCCCGCCAGCTCCTCCAGCACCCTTGCCCCCCTTGCCCTTGCCGGTGCGGCGTCTCCCGCTAGGGGCAGACGCAGCTCCAACTGACTCGAGGCCGACGAGGTCGGCCGCAGCAGCAGAGGCAACAGAGGGCAAGAGGGGGGAGGGGGAGCACCCCTCAAAGAAGGGGGTACGAGGGTCACCACGAGAGGCTCCTACAGCGACTATACTCTTCTCTGCTGCTAGGAGGCGCTCCTCGAGGAGGTCAACGGTGAGTATGGTGGGGCAAACAGAGAGGAAGTGGTCCCTGACCGAGCGAAGGGAGTCAGGGAGCCGGGTGACTATGTAGTAGAGGGTGATGTACATGGGGGGGGGGTTCTTGGCGCAGAACTCAGCAGGAAGCGCAGCGCGGTAGTGGGTGTCACTAGTGCGAAGGTGCATAATGAGGTCAGCGACTGTGGGAAAGGCGGCGAGGTCAGGGAACAGGTACGGCAGCATGAGGCGGCTAAGGGCAGCAGTGGCAGGGGAAGAGTAGCGTGCAACTACAGCGTCGTACAAGGTCTTAGCACTCTTGTACTGACTAAAATGCGCACGCTCAGTGGTCGGTAAGTGGCGACGCACAGCAAGACGGGCAGCAGCATCGCGTGTGGCCCACTGTGAGCGAACAGTGCTGTCAGCATCGGCAGCAGGGGCAGCAGAGGCACCAGAGGTGAGATCGAACAGGGAGAGTCCGTCTGTCCTATCGCACTGTAGGAAAAGCTGCAGGTCATCGACCCAGACCTCAAAGTCAACAGCCCAGCCCTCAGCATCAAAGGTAAGGACACTGGGGGTAGCCATGACAGCAGCAGTCTAGCAGTGAGAGCAGTAGGCTAGGGGCAGCGCAGTGGCAAAGGCGCTGCTCGGGAGTGCTCTCACTAGTCCGGGTGGGTACGGCCGGGTCGCGCCGGCAGGAACAGGGCCGGAACTGCGGCGTCAGCGGCTCGACAGCGGCACCAGCGGCTCGGCGGCAGCGGCGGCTCGACGGCGGCGGCGGCGGCACGAAGGCGGCTCGGCGGCGGTGGCGGCTCGACAGCGGCGGCTCGACGGCGGCGTCTCAATAGCGGCGGCTCGACGGCGGCGGCGGCTCGACGGCGGCGGCGGCTCGACAGCGGCGGCGGCGGCTCGGCGAGTAGGCGGCTCAGCAGCGGCCGCAGGAGGGCGGCAGGAGGGCCGCGAGAGGGCGGCGACGGGGCCGCGAGAGGGCGGCGACGGGGCCGCGAGGGCGGCGATGAGGCCGCTGAGGGCGGCGACGGTGCCGCTGCGGGCTGCGAAGGGGCCACTGAGGGCGGCGACGGGGCCGTTGAGAGCGGCGACGGGGCCGCTAGAGGGCGGCGACGGGGCCGCGAGAGGGCGGCGACGGGGCCGCAAGAGCGGCGGCGGGGCCGCAAGGGCGGCGACGGGGCCGCTGAGGGCGGCGACGGGGCCGCTAGAGGGCGGCGCCGGGGCCGCGAGAGTGCGGCGACGGGGCCGTAAGAGTGGCGGCGGGGCCGCAAGGGCGGCGACGGGGCCGCTGAGGGCGGCGACGGGGCCGGAAGGGCTGCGAAGGGGCCGCTAGAGGGCGACGACGGGGCCGCTGGGGGCGGCGACGGGGCCGCTGAGGGCAGCGACGGGGCCGCTAGAGGGCGGCGACGGGGCCGCTGAGGGCGGCGACGGGGCCGCTAGAGGGCGGCGACGGGGCCACCAGAGGGCGGCGACGGGGCCATGTAGGGTGGGGCCACGAGGGGCCGCTAAGGGCGGCGACGGGGCCGCGAGAGGGGCCGTGAGAGGGCGCGAAGGGGAGGACGGCACACAGGGCGCGCCTCGGTCAGGAGCGACTCGCTCTCCGGGCAGAAAAAAAAGTTTAATCGATTTTCAGTGGTGGGCCCTAGGAACAGTTCCCACTAGGGAACCTGCTCTATACCATGTGAAGAAATGAGGAATGAATGATGAACTAGGAAATGAGTTGGGTACAAATATGAAACCCTAGAAAGCTGTACCCCATACTGTCTACCCCACTACAGCCTAGAAAGACTATAGCATATAAGTTTGACACCTATTTCATTCCAAGCCGCGGTCTGCCAACACTGCAAGTCGACGGCGTGCCAATGCTGCAGCAAGGCGGCTCAGTGCGTTGCACCCGCAGGACAGCATCGCAACCACGTCGCATGTGCTCGCAGATGATTGGCAGACTGTGTCTTGTCACATGCAAAGCGCACAGGCGGATACGTGGAGAGTTCGACCAGCAACCACCAAAAACCATGTTGACGAGAAATGACCCCGCCATCGATTGGGCGAAGCAGACTTTGCACTCGAATGCGCGCAGAAGTAGACGGAGAATGCGCGCCGAAGTCGACGTCGACCTGTCCGCAGAAGACGACGTCGCCGGCACGTAGAAGACGACGTCGACCGTGCAATTAAGTAATGCTCGTCGAGGGGAGCCCGTCGACCAATGCTCCTCGACAGGTCTTGGCGTACCAACGTCCTCTGCGAACTCGTCGACGAGTGTCCTCTGCGAGCGGGTTGACCAACGTCCTCTGATGAAGACTTATGCGGACACGTCGTCGTCGACTTCTGCACCAACACACTCGGTCGAACTCCGCGGACAGTTCTAGGTCGAACTCTGTGCGCACTCGACGGGAACTTCTGCATGCTGTTAACGGGAATGGAGTGTTGGCCCCGCCCTCGCTTGGGCAACGCCGACGACTTGGTCGGATGTACGGGAGTAGCAGCCGACTGTTCACAGTGGAAGAGCTGCTCGACAGGATTTGTCGAGCTGCAGGGGACCACTGTGGTGCTGCTGTCGACAAGGGAGCTCGACGGCTGCAACTGACTGGTCTGGGCGACGGGTGGGCCGTCGACCAGGAGGGGCTGTTCGACCGGGAGGTTGACCTGAGAAGTGAGCAGCGGTCGACAAGGGGAGCTTGTCGACAACAGCTGTCAGTTCTGGTCGATCGATGATCGACCAGAGGGACCCGGTGGTCGACCAGAGGCACTTGGGGTTGTCCAGGTCGACTGGGTAACCTGCTCGGCGAGTTCTGCGGAGGCACGCAAACGTCGTCGAGGTCGCGATGGCGAAGGCAACTTCGGGTTGGTATCCCGAAGTCGATGTGGCTCGTCAGGCGCAGACAACAGCCGACAGATGCACAACAGTGCAAGTCGGGCCAATCGTCTGCGCGCATCTGCGAACGTGCGCACTGCTGTCTTCTGAGGGGCAACGCTGGACAGTCGTTCTGCTGCAGCGTTGGCACACCGTCGACCTGCTGTGTTGGCAGGTCGCCTTTCTGCAGTGCTGGCACGGCACTTCTACGCAACGCTGGCAGGCGGTCGACCATGCAGTGCTGTCAGTCGACCAGGCTAGCTGCAGAGTTGCTAGGTGCCTAATGTAGTCATTGTTGTCATTGCTTGTTCAACAATTCTGTATTTCCAATCTGGTTAGTGAAACCCTTGCCGATTTCTCCCATGATTGCGCAAGCACTAAGGAACTAGGCAAAGCCACGATCACTCCTAGTAGTTCGTGCTAACCCCCGTAGTCTAGCTCACCACCGTTGTAGAGTGTATCTCCACACACGCGAGGGCGGGGCCATTTTCCGTCAACAATTGGTCAAAATAAACTCAAGCTTTGTAAACAAACAAAGTGACATGACTGTATATCATTCAACCGAAGTGCCATAACGTGAGTGCCGGGGACAGGAGGAGGACGCGGACGAGGAACCCGACGACCAGTGCGAACAGCGCGAACAGGCGAGGCAGGACGAGACTCATGCTCACGACGCTCTGTACATGAGTCTGTCTGCTCAGCGTAAGGAGAAGGAGCAGGCAGTGGGGAGTCTGGCTGTAACTGTTTTGGGAACTGGTGAGGCGGTGGACTCAGTAAGCTAGGAGGAAGGCCAGTAGAAGACGGGAGACCAAGAGCATTGGAGTAGAGTACGAATCTCATGCTATTGGACAAGCTGCGCACTCCGCCTCACACAACATTGTCACGCATCATCTAGCCGCTGGTACTCAATCAAGCCCTGGCCGCACCTCCGCCTCCTTGTCATCTGTTACGGCAATGCTCTATTATGCCATCACTGCACACTCTCCACTCGCCGCCCCTGGCCTCCCCACTTCGATCCCTCACCTGTGCCGCGCAGCACCTATATGCAATGCCAGCATCGTTATGCTATAGTATAATATGTCACGTGAAGCGGTTATATCGTTTTTTATTACCCTTTGAACAGATGGAACCCCTTACTTCTCCCAGCATCATTGACTCTTGAGCCGAATTAGTGGTGCTGGAAAGCCAAAAACAGTGTGAGATAATTCATTTTTTCCTGGCATAAGATAAATTACATATAAATTAAAACTCATTAACAACTCTCAAACTGCAAAATTTGTGCCCCGATGAGTGTTGTGAGGGCGCGTCATTCTCGTGTCATTCAAACTCATACCCATCTCGACCAGACTAAAGTAATTTTTGACCGTTGCAAAACTTGACGCATCGAATTGAGCCGCATCGAAACAAGCGAAAAGGACGCGCCCTAACAGGAAGTTGATCTCGCGTTGTGGCATGATTCAAGTGCAGATCGTTCACTCTGTGCCGTGCTGTCAAAACACCCCACAAGTCGACCGTCGGATAACTTTGCAGCCTGGACGGTGCAGCGCAACTGTCACGACAAAGAGCTCCCACGTTGTTCTCCCATCACATCCTCACACCCATCAACGACCTACATCCCGTCTCCGGTTCATTCGCCATTCCTAGTTTTCACAGCACGCTTTAAAACTTATAGCCTTCCCAAGCCGCTTCCAGTCTCGTAGCTTACGTTCGTCACTACACTGATTCCGCCTGCTGTTCATCTGGAACTTTATTATTGTTGACGGCATGTTAGTTTCGTCCAGCAATCATTTGCATGCTACGGTCTACACCGAGTGATTATTAAGCAATGCAGACCGCACCTAGTCCTTTTCTTGCCGCGGTTCTTCCTCTCAGAGCGGCTGCAGCTACTTTCTCAACTCCGGCAGTGGGTACTGCCTGCTCTCAGGGAGCCATCGCAGCGCAACCCAATGGCCTGGCTGATCACGAGACCCAAGACAGCGAGTATTCTGAAGGTACGTCACAATCCGCGTACCCGTTTTTTCAATCGGTTTACATGCGCATTCAGGACAAACCACATCTTCTCGAAAGGGCTTTCGTTGCATTTTCTGATTGATTTGTTACCACCCATTCCACAGGTACGAGGTTCGCGTCGTTAAACAATGTCTCATTCACCGCTGGTACAAAGCGCCGAACCCGTGCGAATAAGCCTAAAGAAGTGCGGAAGGGGAAACGATCCACGCAAGCGCGCAGGAACAAGAAAGGCCGCGATGCTCCACTTGCTAGTGACTTTCGGGACGTTGGGCAACATGCACGTGACGCCACCCTTTCAGCTGCAACCGCCACTCTCTCTCCCTCCTCCGCCTATGGCAATGCGGCGAGTGAGCATCTCACCGCCGCCACTCAGTTAAACGCCGGCCTCCCCTCCGCCTACGCCTCTCTTTCAGCTGCAGCCGCCACTCCCTCCCCCTCCTCCACCTATGGCAATGCGGCGAGTGAGCATCTCACCGCCGCCACTCAGTTAAATGCCGGCCTCCCCTCCGCCTCCGCCTCAGCTGCCGCCGCCACCCTCTCTCCCTCCTCCGCCTATGGCAATGCGAGTGAGCATCTCACCGCCGCCACTCAGGTCAATGCCGGCCTCCCCTCCGCCTCCGCCTCCCTCTCAGCTGCAGCCGCCACCCTCTCTCCCTCATCCGCCTATGGCAATGCGGCGAGTCAGCATCTGACTGCTGCCACTCAGTTAAACGCCGGCCTCCCCTCCGCCTACGCCTCTCTTTCAGCTGCAGCCGCCACTCCCTCCCCCTCCTCCGCCTATGGCAATGCGGCGAGTGAGCATCTCACCGCCGCCACACAGTTAAACACCGGCCTCCCCTCTGCCTATGCCTCCCTTTCAGCTGCAGCCGCCACCCTCTCTCCCTCCTCCGCCTATGGCAATGCGAGTGAGCATCTCACCGCCGCCACTCAGGTCAATGCCGGCCTCCCCTCCGCCTCCGCCTCCCTCTCAGCTGCAGCCGCCACCCTCTCTCCCTTATCCGCCTATGGCAATGCGGCAAGTCAGCATCTCACTGCTGCCACTCAGTTAAACGCCGGCCTCCCCTCCGCCTACGCCTCTCTTTCAGCTGCAGCAACCACTCCCTCCCCCTCCTCCGCCTATGGCAATGCGGCGAGTCAGCATCTCACCGCCACCACACAGTTAAACACCGGCCTCCCCTCCGCCTATGCCTCCCTTTCAGCTGCAGCCGCCACCCTCTCTCCCTCCTCCGCCTATGGCAATGCGAGTGAGCATCTCACCGCCGCCACTCAGGTCAATGCCGGCCTCCCCTCCGCCTCCGCCTCCCTCTCAGCTGCAGCCGCCACCCTCTCTCCCTCATCCGCCTATGGCAATGCGGCGAGTCAGCATCTCACTGCCGCCACCCAGTTAAACGCCGGCCTCCCCTCCGCCTACGCCTCTCTTTCAGCTGCAGCCGCCACTCCCTCCCCCTCCTCCGCCTATGGCAATGCGGCAAGTCAGCATCTCACCGCCGCCACACAGTTAAACACCGGCCTCCCCTCCGCCTACACCTCCCTTTCAGCTGCAGCCGCCACCCTCTCTCCCTCCTCCGCCTATGGCAATGCGAGTGAGCATCTCACCGCCGCCACTCAGGTCAATGCCGGCCTCCCCTCCGCCTCCGCCTCCCTCTCAGCTGCAGCCGCCACCCTCTCTCCCTCATCCGCCTATGGCAATGCGGCGAGTCAGCATCTCACTGCCGCCACCCAGTTAAACGCCGGCCTCCCCTCCGCCTACGCCTCTCTTTCAGCTGCAGCCGCCACTCCCTCCCCCTCCTCCGCCTATGGCAATGCGGCGAGTGAGCATCTCACCGCCGCCACTCAGTTAAACGCCGGCCTCCCCTCCGCCTACGCCTCTCTTTCAGCTGCAGCCGCCACTCCCTCCCCCTCCTCCGCCTATGGCAATGCGGCAAGTCAGCATCTCACCGCCGCCACACAGTTAAACACCGGCCTCCCCTCCGCCTACACCTCCCTTTCAGCTGCAGCCGCCACCCTCTCTCCCTCCTCCGCCTATGGCAATGCGAGTGAGCATCTCACCGCCGCCACTCAGGTCAATGCCGGCCTCCCCTCCGCCTCCGCCTCCCTCTCAGCTGCAGCCGCCACCCTCTCTTCCCCATCCGCCTATGGCAATGCGGCGAGTCAGCATCTCACCGCCGCCACACAGTTAAACACCGGCCTCCCCTCCGCCTACGCCTCCCTTTCAGCTGCAGCCGCCACCCTCTCTCCCTCCTCCGCCTATGGCAATGCGAGTGAGCATCTCACCGCCGCCACTCAGGTCAATGCCGGCCTCCCCTCCGCCTCCGCCTCCCTCTCAGCTGCAGCCGCCACCCTCTCTCCCTCATCCGCCTATGGCAATGCGGCGAGTCAGCATCTGACTGCTGCCACTCAGTTAAACGCCGGCCTCCCCTCCGCCTACGCCTCTCTTTCAGCTGCAGCCGCCACTCCCTCCCCCTCCTCCGCCTATGGCAATGCGGCGAGTGAGCATCTCACCGCCGCCACACAGTTAAACACCGGCCTCCCCTCTGCCTATGCCTCCCTTTCAGCTGCAGCCGCCACCCTCTCTCCCTCCTCCGCCTATGGCAATGCGAGTGAGCATCTCACCGCCGCCACTCAGGTCAATGCCGGCCTCCCCTCCGCCTCCGCCTCCCTCTCAGCTGCAGCCGCCACCCTCTCTCCCTTATCCGCCTATGGCAATGCGGCAAGTCAGCATCTCACTGCTGCCACTCAGTTAAACGCCGGCCTCCCCTCCGCCTACGCCTCTCTTTCAGCTGCAGCAACCACTCCCTCCCCCTCCTCCGCCTATGGCAATGCGGCGAGTCAGCATCTCACCGCCACCACACAGTTAAACACCGGCCTCCCCTCCGCCTATGCCTCCCTTTCAGCTGCAGCCGCCACCCTCTCTCCCTCCTCCGCCTATGGCAATGCGAGTGAGCATCTCACCGCCGCCACTCAGGTCAATGCCGGCCTCCCCTCCGCCTCCGCCTCCCTCTCAGCTGCAGCCGCCACCCTCTCTCCCTCATCCGCCTATGGCAATGCGGCGAGTCAGCATCTCACTGCCGCCACCCAGTTAAACGCCGGCCCCCCCTCCGCCTACGCCTCTCTTTCAGCTGCAGCCGCCACTCCCTCCCCCTCCTCCGCCTATGGCAATGCGGCAAGTCAGCATCTCACCGCCGCCACACAGTTAAACACCGGCCTCCCCTCCGCCTACACCTCCCTTTCAGCTGCAGCCGCCACCCTCTCTCCCTCCTCCGCCTATGGCAATGCGAGTGAGCATCTCACCGCCGCCACTCAGGTCAATGCCGGCCTCCCCTCCGCCTCCGCCTCCCTCTCAGCTGCAGCCGCCACCCTCTCTCCCTCATCCGCCTATGGCAATGCGGCGAGTCAGCATCTCACTGCCGCCACCCAGTTAAACGCCGGCCTCCCCTCCGCCTACGCCTCTCTTTCAGCTGCAGCCGCCACTCCCTCCCCCTCCTCCGCCTATGGCAATGCGGCGAGTGAGCATCTCACCGCCGCCACTCAGTTAAACGCCGGCCTCCCCTCCGCCTACGCCTCTCTTTCAGCTGCAGCCGCCACTCCCTCCCCCTCCTCCGCCTATGGCAATGCGGCAAGTCAGCATCTCACCGCCGCCACACAGTTAAACACCGGCCTCCCCTCCGCCTACACCTCCCTTTCAGCTGCAGCCGCCACCCTCTCTCCCTCCTCCGCCTATGGCAATGCGAGTGAGCATCTCACCGCCGCCACTCAGGTCAATGCCGGCCTCCCCTCCGCCTCCGCCTCCCTCTCAGCTGCAGCCGCCACCCTCTCTCCCTCATCCGCCTATGGCAATGCGGCGAGTCAGCATCTCACTGCCGCCACCCAGTTAAATGCCGGCCCCCCCTCCGCCTACGCCTCTCTTTCAGCTGCAGCCGCCACTCCCTCCCCCTCCTCCGCCTATGGCAATGCGGCAAGTCAGCATCTCACCGCCGCCACACAGTTAAACACCGGCCTCCCCTCCGCCTACACCTCCCTTTCAGCTGCAGCCGCCACCCTCTCTCCCTCCTCCGCCTATGGCAATGCGAGTGAGCATCTCACCGCCGCCACTCAGGTCAATGCCGGCCTCCCCTCCGCCTCCGCCTCCCTCTCAGCTGCAGCCGCCACCCTCTCTCCCTCATCCGCCTATGGCAATGCGGCGAGTCAGCATCTCACTGCCGCCACCCAGTTAAACGCCGGCCTCCCCTCCGCCTACGCCTCTCTTTCAGCTGCAGCCGCCACTCCCTCCCCCTCCTCCGCCTATGGCAATGCGGCGAGTGAGCATCTCACCGCCGCCACTCAGTTAAACGCCGGCCTCCCCTCCGCCTACGCCTCTCTTTCAGCTGCAGCCGCCACTCCCTCCCCCTCCTCCGCCTATGGCAATGCGGCAAGTCAGCATCTCACCGCCGCCACACAGTTAAACACCGGCCTCCCCTCCGCCTACACCTCCCTTTCAGCTGCAGCCGCCACCCTCTCTCCCTCATCCGCCTATGGCAATGCGGCGAGTCAGCATCTCACTGCCGCCACCCAGTTAAACGCCGGCCCCCCCTCCGCCTACGCCTCTCTTTCAGCTGCAGCCGCCACTCCCTCCCCCTCCTCCGCCTATGGCAATGCGGCAAGTCAGCATCTCACCGCCGCCACACAGTTAAACACCGGCCTCCCCTCCGCCTACACCTCCCTTTCAGCTGCAGCCGCCACCCTCTCTCCCTCCTCCGCCTATGGCAATGCGAGTGAGCATCTCACCGCCGCCACTCAGGTCAATGCCGGCCTCCCCTCCGCCTCCGCCTCCCTCTCAGCTGCAGCCGCCACCCTCTCTCCCTCATCCGCCTATGGCAATGCGGCGAGTCAGCATCTCACTGCCGCCACCCAGTTAAACGCCGGCCTCCCCTCCGCCTACGCCTCTCTTTCAGCTGCAGCCGCCACTCCCTCCCCCTCCTCCGCCTATGGCAATGCGGCGAGTGAGCATCTCACCGCCGCCACTCAGTTAAACGCCGGCCTCCCCTCCGCCTACGCCTCTCTTTCAGCTGCAGCCGCCACTCCCTCCCCCTCCTCCGCCTATGGCAATGCGGCAAGTCAGCATCTCACCGCCGCCACACAGTTAAACACCGGCCTCCCCTCCGCCTACACCTCCCTTTCAGTTGCAGCCGCCACCCTCTCTCCCTCCTCCGCCTATGGCAATGCGAGTGAGCATCTCACCGCCGCCACTCAGGTCAATGCCGGCCTCCCCTCCGCCTCCGCCTCCCTCTCAGCTGCAGCCGCCACCCTCTCTTCCCCATCCGCCTATGGCAATGCGGCGAGTCAGCATCTCACCGCCGCCACACAGTTAAACACCGGCCTCCCCTCCGCCTACGCCTCCCTTTCAGCTGCAGCCGCCACCCTCTCTCCCTCCTCCGCCTATGGCAATGCGAGTGAGCATCTCACCGCCGCCACTCAGGTCAATGCCGGCCTCCCCTCCGCCTCCGCCTCCCTCTCAGCTGCAGCCGCCACCCTCTCTCCCTCATCCGCCTATGGCAATGCGGCGAGTCAGCATCTGACTGCTGCCACTCAGTTAAACGCCGGCCTCCCCTCCGCCTACGCCTCTCTTTCAGCTGCAGCCGCCACTCCCTCCCCCTCCTCCGCCTATGGCAATGCGGCGAGTGAGCATCTCACCGCCGCCACACAGTTAAACACCGGCCTCCCCTCTGCCTATGCCTCCCTTTCAGCTGCAGCCGCCACCCTCTCTCCCTCCTCCGCCTATGGCAATGCGAGTGAGCATCTCACCGCCGCCACTCAGGTCAATGCCGGCCTCCCCTCCGCCTCCGCCTCCCTCTCAGCTGCAGCCGCCACCCTCTCTCCCTTATCCGCCTATGGCAATGCGGCAAGTCAGCATCTCACTGCTGCCACTCAGTTAAACGCCGGCCTCCCCTCCGCCTACGCCTCTCTTTCAGCTGCAGCAACCACTCCCTCCCCCTCCTCCGCCTATGGCAATGCGGCGAGTGAGCATCTCACCGCCACCACACAGTTAAACACCGGCCTCCCCTCCGCCTATGCCTCCCTTTCAGCTGCAGCCGCCACCCTCTCTCCCTCCTCCGCCTATGGCAATGCGAGTGAGCATCTCACCGCCGCCACTCAGGTCAATGCCGGCCTCCCCTCCGCCTCCGCCTCCCTCTCAGCTGCAGCCGCCACCCTCTCTCCCTCATCCGCCTATGGCAATGCGGCGAGTCAGCATCTCACTGCCGCCACCCAGTTAAACGCCGGCCTCCCCTCCGCCTACGCCTCTCTTTCAGCTGCAGCCGCCACTCCCTCCCCCTCCTCCGCCTATGGCAATGCGGCAAGTCAGCATCTCACCGCCGCCACACAGTTAAACACCGGCCTCCCCTCCGCCTACACCTCCCTTTCAGCTGCAGCCGCCACCCTCTCTCCCTCCTCCGCCTATGGCAATGCGAGTGAGCATCTCACCGCCGCCACTCAGGTCAATGCCGGCCTCCCCTCCGCCTCCGCCTCCCTCTCAGCTGCAGCCGCCACCCTCTCTCCCTCATCCGCCTATGGCAATGCGGCGAGTCAGCATCTCACTGCCGCCACCCAGTTAAACGCCGGCCTCCCCTCCGCCTACGCCTCTCTTTCAGCTGCAGCCGCCACTCCCTCCCCCTCCTCCGCCTATGGCAATGCGGCGAGTGAGCATCTCACCGCCGCCACTCAGTTAAACGCCGGCCTCCCCTCCGCCTACGCCTCTCTTTCAGCTGCAGCCGCCACTCCCTCCCCCTCCTCCGCCTATGGCAATGCGGCAAGTCAGCATCTCACCGCCGCCACACAGTTAAACACCGGCCTCCCCTCCGCCTACACCTCCCTTTCAGCTGCAGCCGCCACCCTCTCTCCCTCCTCCGCCTATGGCAATGCGAGTGAGCATCTCACCGCCGCCACTCAGGTCAATGCCGGCCTCCCCTCCGCCTCCGCCTCCCTCTCAGCTGCAGCCGCCACCCTCTCTCCCTCATCCGCCTATGGCAATGCGGCGAGTCAGCATCTCACTGCCGCCACCCAGTTAAATGCCGGCCCCCCCTCCGCCTACGCCTCTCTTTCAGCTGCAGCCGCCACTCCCTCCCCCTCCTCCGCCTATGGCAATGCGGCAAGTCAGCATCTCACCGCCGCCACACAGTTAAACACCGGCCTCCCCTCCGCCTACACCTCCCTTTCAGCTGCAGCCGCCACCCTCTCTCCCTCCTCCGCCTATGGCAATGCGAGTGAGCATCTCACCGCCGCCACTCAGGTCAATGCCGGCCTCCCCTCCGCCTCCGCCTCCCTCTCAGCTGCAGCCGCCACCCTCTCTCCCTCATCCGCCTATGGCAATGCGGCGAGTCAGCATCTCACTGCCGCCACCCAGTTAAACGCCGGCCTCCCCTCCGCCTACGCCTCTCTTTCAGCTGCAGCCGCCACTCCCTCCCCCTCCTCCGCCTATGGCAATGCGGCGAGTGAGCATCTCACCGCCGCCACTCAGTTAAACGCCGGCCTCCCCTCCGCCTACGCCTCTCTTTCAGCTGCAGCCGCCACTCCCTCCCCCTCCTCCGCCTATGGCAATGCGGCAAGTCAGCATCTCACCGCCGCCACACAGTTAAACACCGGCCTCCCCTCCGCCTACACCTCCCTTTCAGCTGCAGCCGCCACCCTCTCTCCCTCATCCGCCTATGGCAATGCGGCGAGTCAGCATCTCACTGCCGCCACCCAGTTAAACGCCGGCCCCCCCTCCGCCTACGCCTCTCTTTCAGCTGCAGCCGCCACTCCCTCCCCCTCCTCCGCCTATGGCAATGCGGCAAGTCAGCATCTCACCGCCGCCACACAGTTAAACACCGGCCTCCCCTCCGCCTACACCTCCCTTTCAGCTGCAGCCGCCACCCTCTCTCCCTCCTCCGCCTATGGCAATGCGAGTGAGCATCTCACCGCCGCCACTCAGGTCAATGCCGGCCTCCCCTCCGCCTCCGCCTCCCTCTCAGCTGCAGCCGCCACCCTCTCTCCCTCATCCGCCTATGGCAATGCGGCGAGTCAGCATCTCACTGCCGCCACCCAGTTAAACGCCGGCCTCCCCTCCGCCTACGCCTCTCTTTCAGCTGCAGCCGCCACTCCCTCCCCCTCCTCCGCCTATGGCAATGCGGCGAGTGAGCATCTCACCGCCGCCACTCAGTTAAACGCCGGCCTCCCCTCCGCCTACGCCTCTCTTTCAGCTGCAGCCGCCACTCCCTCCCCCTCCTCCGCCTATGGCAATGCGGCAAGTCAGCATCTCACCGCCGCCACACAGTTAAACACCGGCCTCCCCTCCGCCTACACCTCCCTTTCAGCTGCAGCCGCCACCCTCTCTCCCTCATCCGCCTATGGCAATGCGGCGAGTCAGCATCTCACTGCCGCCACCCAGTTAAACGCCGGCCCCCCCTCCGCCTACGCCTCTCTTTCAGCTGCAGCCGCCACTCCCTCCCCCTCCTCCGCCTATGGCAATGCGGCAAGTCAGCATCTCACCGCCGCCACACAGTTAAACACCGGCCTCCCCTCCGCCTACACCTCCCTTTCAGCTGCAGCCGCCACCCTCTCTCCCTCCTCCGCCTATGGCAATGCGAGTGAGCATCTCACCGCCGCCACTCAGGTCAATGCCGGCCTCCCCTCCGCCTCCGCCTCCCTCTCAGCTGCAGCCGCCACCCTCTCTCCCTCATCCGCCTATGGCAATGCGGCGAGTCAGCATCTCACTGCCGCCACCCAGTTAAACGCCGGCCTCCCCTCCGCCTACGCCTCTCTTTCAGCTGCAGCCGCCACTCCCTCCCCCTCCTCCGCCTATGGCAATGCGGCGAGTGAGCATCTCACCGCCGCCACTCAGTTAAACGCCGGCCTCCCCTCCGCCTACGCCTCCCTTTCAGCTGCAGCCGCCACCCTCTCTCCCTCCTCCGCCTATGGCAATGCGAGTGAGCATCTCACCGCCGCCACTCAGGTCAATGCCGGCCTCCCCTCCGCCTCCGCCTCCCTCTCAGCTGCAGCCGCCACCCTCTCTCCCTCATCCGCCTATGGCAATGCGGCGAGTCAGCATCTCACTGCCGCCACCCAGTTAAACGCCGGCCTCCCCTCCGCCTACGCCTCTCTTTCAGCTGCAGCCGCCACTCCCTCCCCCTCCTCCGCCTATGGCAATGCGGCGAGTGAGCATCTCACCGCCGCCACTCAGTTAAACGCCGGCCTCCCCTCCGCCTACGCCTCCCTTTCAGCTGCAGCCGCCACCCTCTCTCCCTCCTCCGCCTATGGCAATGCGGCAAGTCATCATCTCAACGCCGCCACTCAGTTAAACACCGGCCTCCCCTCCGCCTACACCTCCCTTTCAGCTGCAGCCGCCACCCTCTCTCCCTCATCCGCCTATGGCAATGCGGCGAGTCAGCATCTCACTGCCGCCACCCAGTTAAACGCCGGCCCCCCCTCCGCCTACGCCTCTCTTTCAGCTGCAGCCGCCACTCCCTCCCCCTCCTCCGCCTATGGCAATGCGGCAAGTCAGCATCTCACCGCCGCCACACAGTTAAACACCGGCCTCCCCTCCGCCTACACCTCCCTTTCAGCTGCAGCCGCCACCCTCTCTCCCTCATCCGCCTATGGCAATGCGGCGAGTCAGCATCTCACTGCCGCCACCCAGTTAAACGCCGGCCCCCCCTCCGCCTACGCCTCTCTTTCAGCTGCAGCCGCCACTCCCTCCCCCTCCTCCGCCTATGGCAATGCGGCAAGTCAGCATCTCACCGCCGCCACACAGTTAAACACCGGCCTCCCCTCCGCCTACACCTCCCTTTCAGCTGCAGCCGCCACCCTCTCTCCCTCCTCCGCCTATGGCAATGCGAGTGAGCATCTCACCGCCGCCACTCAGGTCAATGCCGGCCTCCCCTCCGCCTCCGCCTCCCTCTCAGCTGCAGCCGCCACCCTCTCTCCCTCATCCGCCTATGGCAATGCGGCGAGTCAGCATCTCACTGCCGCCACCCAGTTAAACGCCGGCCTCCCCTCCGCCTACGCCTCTCTTTCAGCTGCAGCCGCCACTCCCTCCCCCTCCTCCGCCTATGGCAATGCGGCGAGTGAGCATCTCACCGCCGCCACTCAGTTAAACGCCGGCCTCCCCTCCGCCTACGCCTCCCTTTCAGCTGCAGCCGCCACCCTCTCTCCCTCCTCCGCCTATGGCAATGCGAGTGAGCATCTCACCGCCGCCACTCAGGTCAATGCCGGCCTCCCCTCCGCCTCCGCCTCCCTCTCAGCTGCAGCCGCCACCCTCTCTCCCTCATCCGCCTATGGCAATGCGGCGAGTCAGCATCTCACTGCCGCCACCCAGTTAAACGCCGGCCTCCCCTCCGCCTACGCCTCTCTTTCAGCTGCAGCCGCCACTCCCTCCCCCTCCTCCGCCTATGGCAATGCGGCGAGTGAGCATCTCACCGCCGCCACTCAGTTAAACGCCGGCCTCCCCTCCGCCTACGCCTCCCTTTCAGCTGCAGCCGCCACCCTCTCTCCCTCCTCCGCCTATGGCAATGCGGCAAGTCATCATCTCAACGCCGCCACTCAGTTAAACACCGGCCTCCCCTCCGCCTACACCTCCCTTTCAGCTGCAGCCGCCACCCTCTCTCCCTCATCCGCCTATGGCAATGCGGCGAGTCAGCATCTCACTGCCGCCACCCAGTTAAACGCCGGCCCCCCCTCCGCCTACGCCTCTCTTTCAGCTGCAGCCGCCACTCCCTCCCCCTCCTCCGCCTATGGCAATGCGGCAAGTCAGCATCTCACCGCCGCCACACAGTTAAACACCGGCCTCCCCTCCGCCTACACCTCCCTTTCAGCTGCAGCCGCCACCCTCTCTCCCTCCTCCGCCTATGGCAATGCGAGTGAGCATCTCACCGCCGCCACTCAGGTCAATGCCGGCCTCCCCTCCGCCTCCGCCTCCCTCTCAGCTGCAGCCGCCACCCTCTCTCCCTCATCCGCCTATGGCAATGCGGCGAGTCAGCATCTCACTGCCGCCACCCAGTTAAACGCCGGCCTCCCCTCCGCCTACGCCTCTCTTTCAGCTGCAGCCGCCACTCCCTCCCCCTCCTCCGCCTATGGCAATGCGGCGAGTGAGCATCTCACCGCCGCCACTCAGTTAAACGCCGGCCTCCCCTCCGCCTACGCCTCCCTTTCAGCTGCAGCCGCCACCCTCTCTCCCTCCTCCGCCTATGGCAATGCGAGTGAGCATCTCACCGCCGCCACTCAGGTCAATGCCGGCCTCCCCTCCGCCTCCGCCTCCCTCTCAGCTGCAGCCGCCACCCTCTCTCCCTCATCCGCCTATGGCAATGCGGCGAGTCAGCATCTCACTGCCGCCACCCAGTTAAACGCCGGCCTCCCCTCCGCCTACGCCTCTCTTTCAGCTGCAGCCGCCACTCCCTCCCCCTCCTCCGCCTATGGCAATGCGGCGAGTGAGCATCTCACCGCCGCCACTCAGTTAAACGCCGGCCTCCCCTCCGCCTACGCCTCCCTTTCAGCTGCAGCCGCCACCCTCTCTCCCTCCTCCGCCTATGGCAATGCGGCAAGTCATCATCTCAACGCCGCCACTCAGTTAAACCCGCATGCCTCAGATCCGCACTCGAGCCCAGTTCAGCCTTCCTGCACTTCTTCCTCCCGACCTGAACAGGTCACTCACTCCTCTCAGGCCACTTTGCCAGGCCTAGTTGGCCATCCCCTCAACTCCGCCGCACGCCCTGCTGCCCTGGCCTCCCCTGCCCCACCTGCCATGCCCGAAGTTTAGCAACAGTCGGGACGGCGGTGGGGACTTCGAGTCCGTACGCCGCGAAACTATGCTCGCATGGCTGCAGGCGCTCAAGCCGTGTCGTCATCGGCTGATGCTAGCGAAGATGAAGATTCTGAGGAAGATGAAGACGCAGCTAATTTGGGAACCAACACGGCTTCGCCTCCACGGCGTGCTGCAAGCAGGGGCACGCGAGCTGAACTTGAGGCTGCGCAGGCTCAGTGCCGCGAGCAGGCGCGGCTCATAATGGAACTACAAAACGAAGTGCAGCGACGGACATCCACACACATCCCTCCGACCAATGGGGGGACGGGAGACGGTGGCCAGTATAATCCACCAACCAATCCATCCACCACTAGTAACACCCGCTCACAGGCCCTTCGACCAATTGCTGGTCCTGCATCAAGCAACCAACTGCTGGTCCCAGAACAATCCACCCCATCTCTCCCCATAACACATCTTCCTCCAATGTGGCCGCGCACCGAAGCGGCTTTTTGTCACGCTGTAGCGAAGGCTCACATGCGCAAGCAGCAGATTGACTGCTCAGGGATGACCAAATGGCAACGGGAGAAGGCAGTCCAAGTTATCTTTGCTTTGGATAGCGTCCCGGAAGAGGGCGGAGGTTGGAAGGTAAACCCACAACACCAGCCCCTCTCCCCACCTCTTCCCCACCCCCCTGCCTTCATTTGTCGCCTCTCTCCCCTGCCATTTGCTCATTCCCGAGTTCGTTCCTGTCCCACCCAGCCTCACACACTCATCTCTCCCACATCAGATGTGATTTTTGTAGTCCTTAGAGAGGTGGATCACATGTTGGCAACAACTTTGTAGACTACCTCACTTCCCCCTCACTTCCCTAACACCTCACGCCCCACCCCCCACCCCCCCTTTCTCATCCCGCCCAACACCATTGTCCTCCAGGAGATGGTGGACGAGGCCCTGAACATCCTTTTCTTCCGCACCCCTCTCAACGACTTCACGATGTGGCCCAAACCTGGCCGGATCAATCAGGTGTTGCTCTTGGTGCTGGGCCTCACTGCAATGGAGGAGCAGTATGTCATAAAAATGGTTCTTCGCTGTGACACGGACCGGAGACGCTACCTACGAGACAGGCTTCAAAAGTTTCGGAATGATGCGCTCACAAAGGGCCGTGACTGGATGTACGACAATTACAGTCTGTTCGTGCCAAGGCCGAAGCTTGGGGGCGAAAAGGAGGGCACCACAACCGTTACCAAGTTCCTGGAAGATTTTGGTGCAAGTGAGTTCCCTTCTGAGGTCCTATGCAGATGTATGGGTGTGCTGCCAGGTATGTGTTTGTGTTGGCAGGTATGAGAGTGTGTGCTGCCAGGTGTATGTGTTTGTGTTGGCAGGTATGTGAGTGTGTGCTGCCAGGTGAATGTGTTTGTGTTGGCAGGTATGAGAGTGTGTGCTGCCAGGTGTATGTGTTTGTGTTGGCAGGTATGAGAGTGTGTGCTGCCAGGTATATGTGTTTGTGTTGGCAGGTATGAGAGTGTGTGCTGCCAGGTGTATGTGTTTGTGTTGGTAGGTATGTGAGTGTGTGCTGCCAGGTGTATGTGTTTGTGTTGGCAGGTATGAGAGTGTATGCTGCCAGGTGTATGTGTTTGTGTTGGCAGGTATGCGAGTGTGTGCTGCCAGGTGAATGTGTTTGTGTTGGCAGGTATGAGAGTGTGTGCTGCCAGGTGTATGTGTTTGTGTTGGCAGGTATGAGAGTGTGAGCTGCCAGGTGTATGTGTTTGTGTTGGCAGGTATGTGAGTGTGTGCTGCCAGGTGTATGTGTTTGTGTTGGCATGTATGTGAGTGTGTGCTGCCAGGTGTATGTGTTTGTGTTGGCAGGTATGTGAGTGGGTGCTGCCAGGTGTATGTGTTTGTGTTGGCAGGTATGAGTGTGTGTGCTGCCAGGTGTATGTGTTTGTGTTGGCAGGTATGTGAGTGTGTGCTGCCAGATGTATGTGTTTGTGTTGGCAGGTATGTGAGTGTGTGCTGCCAGGTGAATGTGTTTGTGTTGGCAGGTATGAGAGTGTGTGCTGCCAGGTGTATGTGTTTGTGTTGGCAGGTATGAGAGTGTGAGCTGCCAGGTGTATGTGTTTGTGTTGGCAGGTATGTGAGTGTGTGCTGCCAGGTGTATGTGTTTGTGTTGGCATGTATGTGAGTGTGTGCTGCCAGGTGTATGTGTTTGTGTTGGCAGGTATGTGAGTGGGTGCTGCCAGGTGTATGTGTTTGTGTTGGCAGGTATGAGTGTGTGTGCTGCCCGGTGTATGTGTTTGTGTTGGCAGGTATGTGAGTGTGTGCTGCCAGATGTATGTGTTTGTGTTGGCAGGTATGTGAGTGTGTGCTGCCAGGTGTATGTGTTTGTGTTGGCAGGTATGTGAGTGTGTGCTGCCAGGTGTATGTGTTTGTGTTGGCATGTATGTGAGTGTGTGCTGCCAGGTGTATGTGTTTGTGTTGGCAGGTATGTGAGTGGGTGCTGCCAGGTGTATGTGTTTGTGTTGGCAGGTATGAGAGTGTGTGCTGCCAGGTGTATGTGTTTGTGTTGGCAGGTATGTGAGTGTGTGCTGCCAGATGTATGTGTTTGTGTTGGTAGGTATGTGAGTGTGTGCTGCCAGGTGCATGTGTTTGTGTTGGAAGGTATGAGAGTGTGTGCTGCCAGGTGTATGTGTTTGTGTGGGCAGGTATGTGAGTGTGTGCTGCCAGGTGTATGTGTTTGTGTTGGCAGGTATGAGAGTGTATGCTGCCAGGTGTATGTGTTTGTGTTGGCAGGTATGTGAGTGTGTGCTGCCAGGTGAATGTGTTTGTGTTGGCAGGTATGAGAGTGTGTGCTGCCAGGTGCATGTGTTTGTGTTGGCAGGTATGTGACTGTGTGCCGCCAGGTGTATGTGGTTGTGTTGGCAGGTATGTGAGTGTGTGCTGCCAAGTGCATGTGTTTGTGTTGGAAGGTATGAGAGTGTGTGCTGCCAGGTGTATGTGTTTGTGTTGGCAGGTATGAGAGTGTATGCTGCCAGGTGTATGTGTTTGTGTTGGCAGGTATGTGAGTGTGTGCTGCCAGGTGTATGTATTTGTGTTGGCAGGTATGAGAGTGTGTGCTGCCAGGTGCATGTGTTTGTGTTGGCAGGTATGTGAGTGTGTGCTGCCAGGTGTATGTGTTTGTGTTGGCAGGTATGTGAGTGTGTGCTGCCAGGTGTATGTGGTTGTGTTGGCAGGTATGTGAGTGTGTGCTGCCAAGTGCATGTGTTTGTGTTGGAAGGTATGAGAGTGTGTGCTGCCAGGTGTATGTGTTTGAGTTGGCAGGTATGTGAGTGTGTGCTGCAAGGTGTATGTGTTTGTGTTGGCAGGTATGTGAGTGTGTGCTGCCAGGTGTATGTGTTTGTGTTGGCAGGTATGTGAGTGTGTGCTGCGGGGTGAATGTGTTTGTGTTGGCAGGTATGTGAGTGTGTGCTGCCAGGTATATGTGTTTGTGTTGGCAGGTATGTGAGTGTGTGCTGCCAGGTGTATGTGTTTGTGTTGGCAGGTATGAGAGTGTGTGCTGCCAGGTGTATGTGTTTGTGTTGGTAGGTATGTGAGTGTGTGCTGCCAGGTGTATGTGTTTGTGTTGGCAGGTATGAGAGTGTATGCTGCCAGGTGTATGTGTTTGTGTTGGCAGGTATGCGAGTGTGTGCTGCCAGGTGAATGTGTTTGTGTTGGCAGGTATCAGAGTGTGTGCTGCCAGGTGTATGTGTTTGTGTTGGCAGGTATGAGAGTGTGAGCTGCCAGGTGTATGTGTTTGTGTTGGCAGGTATGTGAGTGTGTGCTGCCAGGTGTATGTGTTTGTGTTGGCATGTATGTGAGTGTGTGCTGCCAGGTGTATGTGTTTGTGTTGGCAGGTATGTGAGTGGGTGCTGCCAGGTGTATGTGTTTGTGTTGGCAGGTATGAGTGTGTGTGCTGCCAGGTGTATGTGTTTGTGTTGGCAGGTATGTGAGTGTGTGCTGCAAGGTGTATGTGTTTGTGTTGGCAGGTATGTGAGTGTGTGCTGCCAGGTGTATGTGTTTGTGTTGGCAGGTATGTGAGTGTGTGCTGCGGGGTGAATGTGTTTGTGTTGGCAGGTATGTGAGTGTGTGCTGCCAGGTATATGTGTTTGTGTTGGCAGGTATGTGAGTGTGTGCTGCCAGGTGTATGTGTTTGTGTTGGCAGGTATGAGAGTGTGTGCTGCCAGGTGTATGTGTTTGTGTTGGCAGGTATGTGAGTGTGTGCTGCCAGGTGTATGTGTTTGTGTTGGCAGGTATGTGAGTGTGTGCTGCCAGATGTATGTGTTTGTGTTGGCAGGTATGTGAGTGTGTGCTGCCAGGTGTATGTGTTTGTGTTGGCAGGTATGTGAGTGTGTGCTGCCAGGTGTATGTGTTTGTGTTGGCATGTATGTGAGTGTGTGCTGCCAGGTGTATGTGTTTGTGTTGGCAGGTATGTGAGTGGATGCTGCCAGGTGTATGTGTTTGTGTTGGCAGGTATGAGAGTGTGTGCTGCCAGGTGTATGTGTTTGTGTTGGCAGGTATGTGAGTGTGTGCTGCCAGATGTATGTGTTTGTGTTGGCAGGTATGTGAGTGTGTGCTGCCAGGTGAATGCGTTTGTGTTGGAAGGTATGAGAGTGTGTGCTGCCAGGTGTATGTGTTTGTGTTGGCAGGTATGAGAGTGTATGCTGCCAGGTGTATGTGTTTGTGTTGGCAGGTATGTGAGTGTGTGCTGCCAGGTGTATGTGTTTGTGTTGGCAGGTATGTGAGTGTGTGCTGCCAGGTGTATGTGTTTGTGTTGGCATGTATGTGAGTGTGTGCTGCCAGGTGTATGTGTTTGTGTTGGCAGGTATGTGAGTGGGTGCTGCCAGGTGTATGTGTTTGTGTTGGCAGGTATGAGAGTGTGTGCTGCCAGGTGTATGTGTTTGTGTTGGCAGGTATGTGAGTGTGTGCTGCCAGATGTATGTGTTTGTGTTGGCAGGTATGTGAGTGTGTGCTGCCAGGTG